CCCCCGCCCATCCCCAAAAGTTTCTCAGCGGATTTGGGCTGTACTCAACAAGCGCAGTACAGCCTCCAACTCGGATTTGAAAAAAAATCAGTGGATGGTTGTTTTCTGACTGGTCGGCAGACTGCTGACCGGTCGGCCCTACTGGTTGGCTGCTATATGGTCGGCGGTCGGGGTTGGCGGTCGGCAGGGATGCAACCCTGCTGTGTACGTGTATTGCATGGCATCAGGGTTTGAACCCCTGACAGGTTAGTTGTGTAACATTCAGCGGGTGTGTATGAGCGGTAACCTGTGTACGCGTATTCCATTGGGTCAGGGTTCGAACCCCTGTAATGCACATTCTCAATCGATGCGTGATGAGAGGTGTTTGCTGCATATCTGCGTGTCCTTTTCTTTTTCCCTTTTCCTTAATACTTGTCCTTCTCTTTGTGCGTGTCTTCCTGTGATCCATTTTCCCTGAAGTAGTTCTTGCTGTATGGGGAGATTATGGGTACGTAGTAAGGCATCTCTTTTCTGATCTGTTTGATGTCCTGACGTGTGTCACAGCCGGCCGAAGCGAGTGCCAAACAAGCAGACACACTGCCAAAGGATAAACACTTGTCTGATTTCTACCGGTTCCAGCAACGGGAAGCAGGCCGGAACGGTAAACTCTTCTCTCCCTGATTACCAACCTCAGAATCTGTCTGATGGCAGTTTGACCCGAACAGACCGGCCCCAGATTATGCAGAATTATTTTGTATCTCATTGCATCTGGATTCAAACTTGGCTCTGTATTTCAACAGTTCATGGGTGTACCGACAGAGCTAGGAGTGTTGGTGAGATCTCGCTGTCCTCAGTGGCTAGCGATTCGATCCTACGTGCAGAGTGCTTCTTTTTCTTGTATTCGAGCTCGTGACCTATTTGTTTTATAACATTCAGCCTCTAGGGGTATTTCAGCCTGACAGTGTCCTGTTTCACAATTTCACAGGATGACTGTTCTGAGTACCTCCTCCTGTACTCAGAATAATCCTGCTGAATACCTGCTTGAGTCTGTTGATGGTTGCACCAAACGCCCCTTAAGTCTGTTGGATGGTCTTGCGGAGTACGTCCTTGGGTCTGTTGGATGGTTCTGCTGAGTACATTCTTGAGTCTGTTGGACGATCCTGTTGAGAGTGTGTCTTTGAATGAGCTAAATGGTTGTGCTGAGTACCTCCTTGAGTTTGTTGATGGGTGCGCTGAGCGCCCCTTAAGTCTGTTGGATGGTCTTGCTGAGTATTTCCTTGGGTCTGTTGGATGGTTCTG